ATGCATGAGGGCAGCACCCTCAAGGCGGCCATGCTGTCGGTAAGGCAGGACACATTGTTTTGGACACGTGAGGTCTATGAGAAGATCAGGACCTTCTCCAGGGGCCGCCCACAGACCAGGACATCCATGGACTACGCACCACCCCAGAAGGGCAAGAACAAGTCCAGGGGCAAGGGGAAGTCCAGGGGCAAGCCTGGGAGCAAAGGGAAAGGTAAGCCCCCCCAGCCGAACAATCAGGCCTCCAGGGGCAGTAACAAGCAGGCGGCCACCGATCCGAAAGGGAACCAGTTCTGTAACAACTGGATGCGCGGGCGCTGCCCGGGCAACTGCGGACGCACGCACAAGTGCAACCTCATCCTGGCGACGGGCCGCATCTGCCTGGGAGACCACCTCCCGCAGGACTGCCCGGGTTGACTAGGGGCTCGGACCCCGACCCCCCGGGAGGCCTCAGGTGCCATAAGAGTTCTGTTGGGCTGAATGAAGGGGGCCAACGCTTTTCAGCTACCCCCCTGACAAGTCCCACGGAGCTGTCACCGGGAGGGGACACCTTCCCGTGGATGGAGAACATCCCGGAGCGCCTGGCACAGCGGCTGAGATGGACACAGGGCACATCGCCCAAAGTTCCATCCAGTGGGCCCATCATTGTCCTGCTCTATGCAGGCAAGGAAGACCCAACTTCCTTAGACAGCTGTCTTCATGCCAACTACCCGCACCTCTCCAGCATGGTGGTGGCAGTAGACATCCTACGATCCGGACCAAAAGGGAACCACGACATGCTCCAACCCGAGCTGTATGGAGCGCTCTGCACGGCAGCAAAGCAGGGCCGAGTGGTCTTCATTGGGGGAGGACCCAACTGCAGGACATGGTCCATCCTGCGCCACATACCAAAACCGGGGGCCCCCACCCCGGTGCGAGGACGCACTCGAGAGACACTTTGGGGCCTCCCACACCTGGACCAGGCCGCCCAGACTCAGCTTGATGAGGACAGTACCCTCATTTTGAGGCAGATGTACATCACCAGCCTGGCAAGGGCCTCAAGATCGGCGGCCTCGCTGCCAGGGCCAAAATCCTTCTTGGAGCACCCGGAGGACCCAGTGGTGAGCAGCTCGCTGCCCAAAGCCAAGGAATGCTCATCCTTCTGGATCACGGAGGAGGGGCAGCTTTGGATGGAGGAAAACTCCTTGACAGCAATCTCCTTCGACCAGTGCCGCCTGGGCCAGCTGGTCAAGAAGGCCACCACACTTGCCACGGATCTCCCAATCCAGGACTGGGATCAAATGCGGTGCACACATCAGTCACATGTGGGCACCAGCGAGTCCTCGACTCTCAGCAGATACCCCTGGGATATGATGGCAGGCCTGGCCAAAGCCATCGCTGTGTCACTCGCAGCGCCGGGGCACATCCGGATCCCCTCACAATTCCCGGGAAACCCTAAGGAACCACCTAAGGGAAGGGGGTCGGACCCCCCTGGGGGCCCTTCTCCCCGGGGGAAACGGGGACCCAATCAGGGAGGCGGTCCCTCCTCGTCACACCAGGGCCCAGAGCCCGGAGGCAAGAATGCCCCGAAGCCCCGCCAGCACGGGCACATCCACCATGAGGCTGACACCGTAAGCCCTCGTGGAACTATGAGTCCAGACTTCCCATCTCCCATGCCCCCGATGGCCGGAGATGCGGAACAACTGGAAAAGGAAGAACATGGGGACCAGGTCCTGGACCGCCCCGAATTCCTGCCCGCTTTCCGGGTCCCACGCCTCACTGACCGAGTTGCGATTGTCCAATTGGGTTTCCGTTCACGCCCCCTGAGAGATGGGGGGGGGAAACCTTCCCCGGGGAGGCTCAACCCCCCTTTTCGGAGAGTTTCCCCTTTGGCTACTTTGGGCGCCCTGATCATGACCCTTACCAGGCCCTGGATTGATAAGGTCCGGATGTCCCTGGCATCAGGTGCCACCACACACCCCTTCCAGGAAACCGACCTCGAGGAGCTGCGGGCTATCCTAGGACCGAGGCACCTCCATGAACGATGCCCAGGACAACCCTTCCTCCTGGACTTAGTGTCGCACTTGGCATCCCTTTCAGGTGACCCTGATTGGGAGTTCCCCCTAACACTGAAAGAGGGGGTCCCCTTGGGAGTCTCGGACCCTACCTTGACCTCCCCGGGAGTTTGGCCCACTAAGGAGGAGCTTAAGGGAGAAGCCTGGCTGGGGGAAGATCCCCCCCCGCCAGTGGCTCATGATAACTACCCAACGGCTGAACTCTTTGCCAAGGAAATCGAATCAACCTTTTACGAGGAACGAGCCTTGGACATGGTGGACGGGCCCTTCACTCGCTCCGAGGCGGCAGAGAGGTGCCGCTGCAAACCGGAGGAACTTTGCCCGGGCCCCCTTGCAGGGATTGATGAGTCGGACAAGATCAGGACGATCTATGATGGCTCAAAAGGGGGAGCAAACGCACACATCCAGGCTCACACGGAGGAGAAGACCACCGCACCGATGGTTGGAGACTGCCTCCATGCCATCCACTGGCTCAGGACAGCGGCGGACCATCCTCATCTACTCCGAGCCCCATCCTCGGGCACTGATGAGGAACCTCGGGATGTTCACCAGCCGGTGCAGGGGCAGTCCCCAGGTGCCGAGGGCCCTGAGAGGGACCCCCACAGCACCAGCCTGCCCCCAGGTGCCGAGGGCCCTGATAGGGGCAGGCGGATGATGGAGACCTCCGGCGGCCTGGACGTCTCTCCGCGGTCAACACCCTCAGGGAAGGGGCCACTCCCAGGTGCCGAGGGCCCTGATAGGAGGGCCCCATTCCCCCCAACCCCCCCAGGCACGGAACGCCCTGGGGGGAGCAGGGGGGAACCCCTGACGTGGCAGCCGCCGACACAGGGGGAAACCTTCATCATCCTCAAGGCGGATGTCACCAAGGCCCACAGGCGCATAAAAGTGCTCCAGAAAGACTGGAAATACCAGGTGGCCTGCATCCAGAACCGGTGGTGGGTCAATAGAGTGGGCACGTACGGCATGGCCTCGGCACAACTGTACTGGGGAAGAAAGGCATCCTTGGTGCTCAGACTCTTGTACTACATCTTCCCTCAGGTGGACTGGCACTTAGTTTTTGTGGACGACTACTGCTGGGTCCTCAGATGCAGCAGGGCGGACTGGGACGCCACAGCCATCCTGGCCACTCTTCTGGCGCTGGGAGTCCCGCTTTCTTGGAAGAAGACGGCGCTCTCCCCGGTCAATACCTGGTTGGGATTCGTGGTGGACCCAATCACGCCCTGTGTGCTGCTGGCTCCAGTCAAGCACGTCATAATCCTGGCCACTCTCAAACGGCTGGCCCAGGGGGACATCTTTACCAGCAAGGAGGTGGAACAAGCCCTGGGCCGGATTCAATGGGCTACTTCGGCGTGTCCATTGACGAAACCTTTCCTCCAGCCCTTTTGGAGCTGGAAGAAGGCCTGCACCACTTCGGGCAGGCCACCGAAGCTGGTTCGTGCTCTGGCCATCCTTCTGGGGAAGCTCTTCAACCAGAGGTTCCCACTGGCATCTCCATTTGCTCCCACACTTCCATGGACGGGGGCATCTGATGCGGGAGCTGGCAAACAGGCGGACCATGCATGGGTTGGTGGTTGGTGCTCGGACGTGCCCAACCCCGACAAGTCCCGAGTGAAGTGGTTCCAACACAGAATCACACCGGAGGGCGAGCCGTGGGCCTTCACTACTGGGGACCCGCAGCGGGCGATAGCGGCCTTGGAGCTCTTCGGCCTCCTCCTTTTGGTGAGGGCTGTTCTGCTTTGTGCAGCCGGCTCGGCTTCTCACACTAGGATTCTGGTTGCTAGTGATAACCAGGGAAACGTTTTCTCCCTGCTTAACGATTCCACTCGCAGGATGCCCAATGCGGCCATCCTCATGGAAATTGTGTTAACACTGCATGACCACCAGGTCATGTTAGGACCGTCGCATGTGAAGCGCGACTTTAACACATGGGCGGATGAACTTACTCATCCGGACCCGCAATTTCCGACTGAGAACCGGGTCTTCCCCTCAGTCGAAAGCGAATTGATCAAGCTGATCTTCGCTACTTTCCTTCCTCACCCATGATGCCGGGAGGGCATCCGGTGAGGTGGGAGGATTCCTCCCTCGCTGTGGGAGTGGCATCAATCCTACTCCCATCAGCTGCTGAGGGGAGCTGCCCAGTGGAACTGGGCAATCCTCCCATTTTGGCACTAACCCTTATGCGGCAATAAAGGAGGCACCGTTTTGCGAATAAGGCCTCAGTAGCACCTGAGTGGTGCTTCAAAGAGTCTGGCCTATCCCCGCGAGAAGTGAGCGGGAGGTTGTGCAATGACAGGGGTCCATTTGTTCCCCTTGGGGTGGCTTTAAACATCACAAATTGGGGCCTTCAAGTGAGCGTGATGATTGAACGGGATGTTCTCAGGAGGCCTGCATCACTCATATTTCACCAGTTTTGGATGGATGAAACCCTAAGTTGGTTTTCCCCATTCTGCTTGTCGACGGCTCTATTACACTTCGCCAGAACACGGGCCTTTTTTCGCGTCCATAATGAAGGTCCCTTCCCTTGGCATCCTGAATGCAGGCTTCCGGAATTCCTGGACTTTAGCCACTTTTCGGGAAGACACTATTGTAGCAGTAGAGACAGAAATGTTTGGACTTTTTTCGGGCCAACCCACTCGATGGGACGTGAGTTGCGAGTCATTGCAGCACTCTTGGGCTCGGTTTGGATCTGAATTGGACTTGAGACAAATCCAACATGGATGATTCACGGGGGGGGGTCCTTCCCAAGAAGAAGCTTTTTATGACCACTCGGCACATATATGGAACAACCCCAAGCGGCACAACCCACTTGCTCCCCTACAGTTTAACATGGAGCCCCAGAACCAATTGGTAGGACTCTCAATTTGGGGGGACCCCTGCCTGCGTTGAGCAAGTGGGTTTGACATCCAAGTTGGGTTGATGCACAGCATTCGTCCGCCGTGAGCTCGCCAGGCGGGTCTTTTCGTTCCTACGCCCGTCGCTCAGAGACCTGATGACGATGTATTTGCTTGGGGCTTGTTGGTAGGGAAACCGAATGGAACACCCATCCATGTTTGAGGTACCCGCAACAGAAGACGCGGGCCATCTTTTTATATCTCAAGCACTGGTTGCATGGTTGAAACACCCAGATTGACAGTGACATCCTCCCTTTTCCTTTTTCAGTTTGTCACCAGAGTTTGCGTGTTTAAGCCAATGGCTTAGTCCTTTCCTTGGCGCTGCCGATAGCACCCGTTTTTTTGAGCAATGCCAGGCATCCTGTCGCACTTCGACTCGCCCAAGTTTGGAGCTGTCCGGGCCTCGGCGCAGAAAATATCCGGGACTTGACCACGTGCCAGGCCTTCTTTCGGCCAAACGAATTTCACCAAATGAATGGCTCGCCTTGTAAGACCACCAAAAGGGGGCGCACCCTCAAAAGCAAAAACCAACTCTGGTCCAAATCTGGACCCCCCCCCATGGTCGAAATTTCACCCATTTGTCCTTGTTGCTTGCGTTTCTCGTGGCTCCTGTCGGACCTTCTCCGGCCACACGCTTGGCGCCTCGGGCGTCCCCCGGGTCCCGAGGCCTTGCGGAACATTGCCAATGAGCTGTCGGACATGCGCCAGCCTCGAGCCGGACGAAATCCATTTCGCACCACCGAAGAAACCCTGGTTTCTGACATGATTTCCCTGTAAGTACCAACAAACGTTATGGTTGCAACCATGGGTTTCTTAGGTGCGAATTGGATTTCCTCCATCCACACTATGATATTGCGGACCACGGTATTTGTGCTGCGTATGGTTCTCAGGGGTCCACCAGCTCCACAAGCTGGTAAGAAAACAACGCCATACCGATTTTTCGTTGCCCAACAGCTGGAAGCTATGACCCCATGGGCCCAAATAGGCGCAGCTTTCAGAGAGGCTCAAAAGGAGATTCGGTTCCAGGACAATTCCCAAACGTCCTCCCCATTTTGTGACACTCAGATGGCTCTTCGCTTGGTGTTAGGCTGGCTTTGGGGACTGCTCGCGAAGGATTCCCGTCCTGCCATATCCAGAAACTCCAAACCCTGGCTTTTCTAGGTAACCAACACCTTGCCACCCCCCCCAAAAAAAAAGAATGGTGAAAGGAACATAAACTTGGTTACCTACAATGAAGAATACAAGTGTTTACCATATGCATACTGTACGGGGGTACTGGGGGCCGATGCGAAAGACGACAACAAGAACGACCCCATGGAGATGCGGGAGCATCCTATGAACATCCCAAGGGGCCCTGAAAAAAACACCTGGTCCCCGCATGGTGTGTTGCGAGGATGTGGCATGGGGAGCACCCGTTCAGATTGACATGGACCCTCCAAAGCTACTGTGGATTGACGAACTCACCACTTGGGATGGATGAAGCCCTACCATGGAAGACACCACTTACCAACTGGGAATTGGATTTGGTCCGCAATATCACACTACGAAATGGAGGACATCCATTTCGCAGCACCGTTCAGAAACCCTGGTTTTCTGACTCGATTTCCTGCAAGTAGCCACGAACGTTCTGGTTGCAACCCATGGCAACTCATTTCGTGGTGCGAGAAGCGGATTTCGTGTCACCGTCCACAGCAGGCAGGTTGCACACATAGGAGCCCTTTCTTGGGCCCGAGTCGCGAGCGCCAGGTGCTGCAAATTGGTGAAAGAGGCGCCGGCCAGCGACGTTCTCGAGAGCCACAGCCTGGGCTTTTCCCCCTCCCACGGTGCCATGGCACCTGCCGTGGCACCCGGCCCTTCATTGATCCAGGTGCCTCCCCACAGGTGCCATGGCAATGTGGGAGGAAGGGTACTCCACCGTCCCCCCGGGTCTTAGAACAAAAAAGAAGACGTGGCTCTCCGAAAAGCTGGCGCTGCCGAAAAGGGTGAACCCTTTCCAGAAGAACCGCAGTGGGGATGCCGAAAATCGGTTGCGGCGAGGTAAAGCTTGGCCTGTTTTCCTCAAGAGCTGCCACCTCCGCGCGGATTTTCGGTGCATTGGGAGCAACTTTTGCGATGCGTGTCGCCTGCTGAAGTGTGAATTGCTGGTCTTACTCCCCCACAAATCAACGGAAGGATTCCCCCAAAAAGGAGATTCCTCTACAAATGGTGGGTTGTTGGGTTCCATGTTGAAGTGTAGGGGAGTAATTTGATGTACTTCACCCTTGTGAACCATCCGGCATTTGCCTGTTGGTTTCATTGGTGTGACTCGCATTGTGGGAAGCCCGACACTTAGGCCCAAAGGGAAGTCTAAGCGCCAACACCCTTGAGGGTAGGGTGGTTATCAATCCTTGGGGGGGCAACCGCAAGGGTCCTAGGCTTGTGAGGGATCACCAGTTTTCACAGGACATGAGCCTTTGGCTGAATTGCCAGGTGGGCGGGCACTATACCGAGATCGGCATCTTAATGCAGAAATGGTCCTCGTGCGCGGAGAATCTACAGGAGGGGTCGCCGCAGCTTCGGTGTCGAAGGCGGAGACGCGCCCCGATTGGTTTTCAATCCTCGTCAGTATTCCACTGCACTGACTCTTTCGCGAAACGGCCGGAACATCAATGTTCAATCAGCCAAAGGTTTACAAATGGGTGTGCCATATTTCAGGGACCCAACCGCACCCCAAAAAGAGAGAGAGGTGTTTTTGCCCCTTTTGGTTTCCCTGTAAAGCCACCCAACAAAGGTGTACCAACTCAAGAAAGACACACACACACACACACACATCAGATCAAGTCTGGGAACGCAAACAGTATGTCTCGGCACAATTGGAGCCCCTTCGGATGCACAGAATCAGCATTGAGAGGCGGCATAATCACAGCAGATTGGAAAGGGCAACCTCCATGTGCTTGTCTTAAGCCACCATAAACCCAACTACAAACCACTATAGACCACAGAGTAAGGTGTCTGGTTTACTGATTGTTTCCGCTTCACATCCAAAGCTTCCGTGTTTTACTCATCGGACACAACTTAAGCGATCGGGCGACAAGTCACCCATTTCGATTGCTTCAAATTATGTGAGGTCTGGTCGGACGCTTGTGGCCAAGTGTTTAGCCCTGTTTTTGTTCGCCCAGCAACAAGGTTAACCTCACATTTACGGGGGACCTATTTCAGTGGGGAACTGAACGGGTACCAACTTACTAGCTGGGCGTACCATTGTCACCTCCTCCTTGCTGGGTAGGAGGTCTGGAAGAATTGACATGATAATTACCGAAACTCCAAACATGCTTCTCCTTTTAAAAACTCGGATTCGAGTCCTGGTGTTTGGGGGGGGAAGTGAGTGTGTTCCCCCATGACCACTTGGGTGTCTGTTGGACAAGGCCCCCTGTCCTTCAGAAGGTCTTTCTTTCATGTTGATTTCGTAGAGGTCTGGACAAGGCCCCCTGTCCTTCAGAAGGTCTTTCTTTCATGTTGATTTCGTAGAGGTCTGGAAACGCTCGGCTTCTCACAAAAGGCCAGGCGGGGGTTCCCCAGTTTGGTGGGACGGGTCAATGCACGGGACCCTACAGGAGGCTTTTCATTCATGTTTTGTATGTTTGTGGGCGGAGGGGGGGGAGCCCTCTTTTGGATGGAATTAAAGGGACACCAACCGGAGCACGGAAGGCATTTGTCGGGGTCCCTCTAAAAAGCCCCCCCCCCCCCCAGTTCTGCACTTTGCCCATGGCTTCAAGTCACGTGCGGTGGAGCGAGCTGTTTACGCTGTCAGGTAGAGCCGGTCATAGGTTGGGACCCAAGTTTGTGCCGTCGGCATGGAGCCCATCAGGGGGGGGGGTCTCTTTTAGGGAGGAAAGTTGTTTTCCAGCCATGTTTGTGGAAGGGATGATCAGTGATCATCCACTATTTTGTTATTTCACCTGGTAACACGGTTCACCCATCATTCACGGACTAAGTGGGTGACCTGGGTTAGCAACTTACTAACTTGGTCGAACACCCGAGTCGGGTTTCAGGAAATGCGTGAGTTGGCCTCAAAATCAGTGGACCCTCAAAAGAAGTGAATTTCCTTTCGGTGTCCTTTCAAAACCAACCAACAAGGGGTTCTTCAGGCAGAAAAAACCATACCCACATCATGTTCGCGCGTTTCTACGTCCACCAACTAATGTTTAGGGGGTCCCATTCAGATCTATATTGTCCAGCGGCAACGGTGACTGTTGCTGGTCCTTTTGAAACGAGCTAACAAGCCAACAAGGGGCTCGTGAGGTTGGATTCTCAAGCTGAGACCAATTTCCGGACAAATATTGACGAGTTTCTCTGTGGATGGGCAGGGTCAAATCGTATATGGGCAGGCCCCCCGAGCCTCCGTAGAGGATCTCAAATGGAGCACTCCTAATTGCAGAGCGGGTCTCTTTGCCGAAAGGACGATGGCCGTGTGTAGCCTTCGATTCTCGCAAGCAGAGCTGATGAATCTCATTTTTTTTTTTTTAAATCAATCCTATGCTCAGGTATCTCTTGATTGGTGGTTTGGGTCTGTGGTTTGGGTTGGTGGTTTGGGTTGGTGGTTTGGGGATTTGAACCCAGAGGGTAAAGGGGACCAGCGACCAATGGAGCTGATATGGTATCTCTTGAGTAGTATTACTGTAGTCATCTTCATCAATTCCTCAACATGGAATCCAAACCACAGTCTTGTCATGGGGCCTGTATAGGACTTTTTTCGCGGCTCTCCGCTTGCCGAGATTTGACTTCTTTCGGCGTTGCAGGTTGCTGGTCCTTTCCATTTCTCAACCCATCCGGTCGAAAGATGGGAATCCGCTCTCTTGAACCTCCGCGAATCCCGAATCCCGATCCCGAATCCCGCGAATCCCGTCGAACAGATGTGACCCTCTGAGGCTTTGGCGAGTTGCTGGCCACCATCTTGGCTTGTTTGGACCTCGAGATGAACGCTCCGGATCCCAGTGCCGCAGCCCTGAAGCTGGGGTTCCGCGGGTTTTGGCCCGCGCGAACGGGGGTTTGAGGTCGCTCAAAGGTTGGGGGGGGGCG